CTCTCTCTCTCTCTCTCTCTCTCTCTCTCTTTACATTTTTTATGAGATTCCATGATATCCGTGGGAGATAACGGACACAATACAATAGACAAACCCTTATGCACAAGTAAATACTGATTTGTCTTTCCATCTTTGTTAGGACCTCGATCAAACTCCCATGGACGTCCCAACAATATATGACATGCTTCCATTGGAACCACATCACAAAGAACTTCATCCTAGAACGTTTTAAAACATAAGAGTAACCGAGCTTGGGATCGTAGCTTAATTTCTCCACGATCATCTAACCATTGCAACTTGTAAGGCTGAGGATGCTTGAACATAGGAAGGTTCAATTTCTCGACAAGTTCCATGCTCACACAGTTTGTGCAACTTCCTCCATCCACAATCAGAAGACACATCTTATTATTCACCTTACACCTTGTATGGAAAATATTGGTGCGTTGCTCGAGATTCTTGTCTTGAGTTGGCTGGATACTAAGAGCATGTGCTAGTACCATAGCTCGAGATACGTCTTCCTCATAGACAACCTCATCTTCACTCTCAGAAGCTCCCTTATCATACATTCGACTAGTTGTAGCTTGCTCGGTTGTTGCTAAAAACATATTAGATTGATCAAGCACATCTTCTTCTTCACTTTCATAGTACCAATCATCTCGAAGTACCATTACCGTCTTATTGGAACAATCAGATGCATAATGTCCTCTTCCTTTAAACTTGAAGCATTGTACATTGGCAGATGAACCCGGTTTAACACTAGGTGTCTTCTCCAATGGCTTGGTAACTGATGAGAATCATGTAGCCTTCCATGGAGGTTCTCCTAGTGAGGGGAATGAGCTAGTCCTTCATTCTAGTTTTGGAATGCCAAGTTTACTTTGCAGGCCAATCAAGGAAGAAAGGATGGATCTTGACTACCTATGTGATAGGGAGTTGGTTTAAGAGAGCTATGATCAAGGTGATGAGAATGTCATTAACTTTGGGGTTCAAACCAAAGGAGATGAAGACCTCATGGAAATAAGTGCTGAAGAGTATCAAGAGAGTTTGACTCTGTGTGCTCCATGAAGATCATTGATCAAGCTAGTGAGAAGAGTCATTTAGGTTCTTGAATGGACGGCCTATTTGATCAAAATGTTCAAGATTGAGTCCATTGCTACACAATTAGATAGGTTGCAAACTATCTTAATTGTTTCAAGTGTTTTTCCAATCTTTTGGAGTCAATAAAGAGAATTCTACAAATTTTGGAGTAAATTGGAGTTTTCTACAACTTAAGGGGCGCAAGACCAATATTTAACTTTTGGAAGGGCGTTCAAGACATTTTACTTCAACAATTGCAGCTGAATTTCGAGATTAGAGTTAGTCTAAGTCTAGGAGTCAATTTTCGAATTTTTATCTAGATAAATAAGTCATGTGGACTGAATTAAAGTAGAGTGTTTTGATTAGGAGTCTTAGATTTCTTCTAGATATTATCCTACTTAAGGATAAGTCATTTAGATAAGGTTTCCTAGATTTTAGATAGAGTCAAAGAGATCAAGTACTCTTCTACTTTTACTCCTTGGGAGATAAGATTAGAGAGTCCTAATTGGTCTTCTTTTAAGTGGTGCTGGCCGAAAATTCTAAGCCTAAAAATAGGAGGCTTGGCCGAATTTCTTAAGCACCCTTGAGTGGTCATTTTTGTTGTCTCTTTTGAGAGTTTTTCCTGTGAGGAAATTTTGTTAAATGGAGTGTCCATTTTTCGTGTCAAGTATGATTAAACCAAGAGGGTTTTCATCTTGTCTTGGATCTTTTTGATCTTGCAGAAACCGTTCTTTTTCAAGTATGCTTCTTGATAGAATTGTTTTAAATCAAAACTTCTTATTTTCATACTACTTCTTGTAGTTCGATTGATGAGCCCTTTCCTTTGGCTTGGTGTTCGAATTTCATGATGAATGTGTTCATGAGATCCATTGTGGGTTTGTCCTACTTTTGCTGGATGAGTTGTACTTTGGCATAAGCATTTTGAGATAGTGTATGTGTTGCATATCTTTGGTTGGTTATGAAGATTACTAATCAATAGTATTCCTTCATAGTTGGGCATTGTTTGCTCCTACCTTTCTTGAGTCTCCTGATAGATGACTGATCGAGTATATTGAATGGTGTCCTTGCTATTCTTAGCGTGGGTTGTTGTTTAATTCGAATCTTTCATGGATAATGTGTTCTTTGCTTGGTTTGAGTTAAGAGATAGAATCACTTAGATAAACAATCGTCTTACTGTGAATTTTCCGCACTCTTTTGAGTTTCACGGGATAGACAAAATTATCTTCGTACTTTCTTGTTGATGGTTGCATTAACGAAAATTGCTTCGTCTACGAGATTGCTATCAGTTTCTCGGTATCAGAGCTTGGATTATCTTAGTGATGGTATTAATTGATATTATCATATCAGTTCCTATTATCAGTTTGATTTTCGAGAGATTTCTTCTTAGTTGAGGACTTCATAGTTCTTGGTTTTGAGAATATCTTGAATTACCACAGAATCCGTTACTTGGTGTGGTAATCGAGCTTTGTGCTACTTAACGAGTAGTACTATCTTTATTTGTTTCAAGGTTCCTTCTTGTTTTGGAATGGGGTGTTGAAAAGATAAATCAAATTCTTGTGAAAACTATGTTTTCAAAATTGATCTTGTCTTTTGTGTGGTTGTACGTGACTTCTTACACATTTGTTTGATCTTGTGGTGTTATTTTGAGGTCTATGCGAGTTTCTTGGTGATGGTACGTTGGTATCTAATCAAAGTGGGCGCTACATCTTGAAATTTATCCTTGATTTGCAAGTAGAGAACTGTTTCTCCTATGAGCAAGTTGGTGGATCTTATGTGTTGGATTTTTAAGGAGAAAATTGATGCCAAAGAAGAGCTTCTTGCTCGAGATAGCCTTTCCTTTCTAAAGAGATGTCTTTACATAAGGAGGATTTGAGAGTTTATCTTGTGGTAAATATCTTGGATCTATTCTTTGAAAGGTGAAGCTTAGTGATTTTGTACTTTCTACAGAAAGTATAAATGAAAAAGCCTTCCTTCTTGTTGGTTTCATTTGAATCTAATGAGTAAAATGGAATTTATGTATTTTCAATTCATGAAAATTTCATAGAGACTGAATTTTGTTGATTATCTTGTTTAATCTTAGTGTCAAAAGATTTTTCAAAAGTAACAAATGTTGATTTTCTTGTTTTCTCGAGTTTTACACTTTGAGATTGAGTCGAATTAGTGGATTCTTCCTATCATTGGATTTTTTCTTGATTCTTAACTTGAGTCAAAACTTTCTTAGTCATGTGATGAGGAATGAATTTTTTTTTAGTGATATCAGTTTTTGGTATCAAAGTGTTTTAAGGTCTTTGAAGTTGAATTGTGCCAACTTTAAGGATTGAAGTCCTTGACTTGTATTTAAAACCTTGATTTTCGAAAGTAGGATTGAAAATTGAGTGAAGTTTTACTAAAAAGATTTTCTTAATTTATGACAAGAAATCTTATAGGCTTTGAGATATATTCTTAAAGTTTACATATTTGGTTGTTGGAAAAGTTGATTTTCAATGGTCACTTATGAAGATGACATTGTTAAGTCATTGAGTTTTCAAAATGATTTGTGTTAAATTTAGTATTATGAAGCAAATGTCATAATTGAATGAGGAACTTTAATTTCCTACTTCATTATAATTATGGTGTTCTTGTTACTTTATTTGCCATGGATTGTTTTGGTAAAAAGTGATTTTTGTTAATTCCAAGTACAATTTGGAAAAGGGTTTTTAGAAAGATTCTAAAAGTTGTTGTCCATTTTTGGAAAGTGGTAATTTTCAAGTTTCCTTTTTAAGTGAGTCAACAGTAATTTTTCAAATTTTAACTATGAGGTAAAAGGTTAATAGCCGAATTTTTGCTGACTTTTTGCATGTGTGTGCGTGTGATTTATGTGGTATTCTAAGCCTAGTTGGTTTTGAATTTTAGAGTCATAGTATAGCCGAAATTGTGAAGCTAAAAATTAGGGTTTCCTAGTCCTAGTTGAACTTGAATTTTGGTTGTCTATTTGTGTTACACTTGGAGACCTATTTGGTCTTGTATTTGTGTGTTCACATGGCCGAAAATTTTAGCCCTAAAATTAAGGTCATTGAGTCCAAATTGTGTTATGATTTGAGTCCTATTCGGTTTTGGATTTTTGTGTGCACATTGGCCGAAAGTTTGCAGCCATTGTTTCCTAATTGTAATACAATTTTATTGTGTGTTTTATTTAAGTCCTACTTGGATTTAAATACTAATTTTTGCATGTGTTAAATTATAATTTCAGTGAGATTATAATTAGAGTTTTAAAGTGAGTCTATTTTCAAAAACTATTAAGATAAGAAAGTCTTATCCTAATCTGAAAATTTTTGAGTCTTCTAATAGTGCCTGTGTGTGGCCGTGTATTTGAGTCCTTTTAGTCGTAGGGGGGTCGAAAATTTTATCTCTAATAAGTAGGGATGAGTTTTCCGAATTTGTGTCCAAAACGGATTATGTTTACCTAGGTTTTAGAACTCTATCCTTGTCTATATATATGAGGCCGGTTTTTCTTCTTCTTTATTCCACATTGTCGAGCAGCCTTCATCATTAAAAAGGGGGGGAATATTTTTGAGAAAATTTAGGTCCTATCTTGTAGGAGTTTTCTTGCACAAAAAGACTTGCATTGCCTATAACTAGGGGTGCTGTTTTTCGAAAATTCTCACATCACTCTACTCCAATCTTCTTCTTCTTTCTTGCTGCCGAGATCAAAAGAGAAAAGAAAAAGAGAAGCACTATTCTCTTTAATTCTGAAATTTTGAGAGTTGTGTTCTTAAAAGCACAAGAGAGTTTTTGTTTTTGGGGATAGTTTTATTCGAACGTTCCTTTGGTTCTTGGGGGGATTTCGGCCGAACCAGACTTTGGTTCTAGGGTTCAAGGAGTTTTTGTGTAGTACACAAGGCACATTACTTCTTTTGTTGGTGGTTTCTTAGAGTCATTGAGCAAAGATGTCATCTGGAGTTGCTGGTTGTACTCAAGTCACTTCACATAGTGTAGAGGGTCGCATGGAGGCTCAAGTACAGCTCATGAAGAGTCAAATTGACTTCCTACATGATGCTTTGGCTGAGGTTAAGAAGGCAAACCGAGACTTGTCTCAATTGCTTTCAAATCAGCAAGATAAAGCTATGGTAAGTTTTGAGAAAATCGTTGAAAAATTAAGAGTCTTATGTGATCATTTTGAAGTTAAACAAGTACCCTCGTATGCTTGAATGTTGCAAGTGTCATTGCCTTTGTTTTATGGTTGTCATAGAGAATATGATACTTGGGAAAAGAGCATAGAGAATTTGTTTGTGTTGCTTAACATAGAGAAAGAGAGTGAGAAAATAGCCTTAGCTATAGGTTGTTTTCGTTCTAATGCTTTGAATTGGTGGAAGCTAGTTTCAAATATCTATTCGCATTATTGGTATCATAATTTGGATGATTGGCATGACTTGAGAAATGCTTTGCGAGAAAGATATGCTGGTACTAACACCTTTGATGAAGCAAAAGTGAAGTTGCTCAATTGTAAGCAGAATGGTAGATCCATTCAATCTTACTTTGAGGAATTAGAAGGGTTGTTTCTGAGTTCAGAAGTGGATGAGAACGACTACATGTTGACAGACCGTTTCCACTATGGCTTGGACAAGTGGTTCAAACAACACCCAAAGATAAGGAGACAATCAAGGCTCTATGAGGCATACTATGCTGCCTTAGAAGTGGAAAGAGGGCATGATACTTCTTGTGGTTGGAATGGCCCAATTGAGGATCAGGGGGTTGGTGTTTGGCACTGAAGATGGAGCTCAACGGACTAAGTGTTCGGTTGGGTGGTCCAATGAAGTTAATTTGGTAATCGACGGTGGGTCGAGTACTGATTGTATAAGTGAGGAATTTTGCATAGCAAACGGAATCAAGATGGATCCGCATACTAGACCATACAAGCTTCAATGGTTGAGTGAAGAGATGGTTGTGGATGTTACTAAAAAGGCCATGGTACCTTTTCAGATTGGCGAGTATAGGGATGAAATTTACTTTGATGTAATTCCTATATCTCTTTGTGATATTTTGCTAGGTAGGCCTTGGCAGTCAGATGTAGATGTTGTGCACCATTCCTCGAAGAATATCTTTGTCTTTACTAAATAGGACAGAAAATACATTCTTAAGCCCTTGGCTTATGAAGAATCTGAATCTGTGCGAGAGAAAAGACGTAAGATAACCTATACACAAGGGAGAGAAAAAGTCGAGAGAGTGACGCAAGAAAGTAAAAAGGGTCACGCTGAGTTAAGACTTGAGGCGAGAGAAAACCATGAAAATAACGTGGAAACAGAAAAAAATGCACGCAATGAGAGAAAATCAGAGTGTGGTGAGGGCGAGGATTTTACTAACCCTTATATCTCGTTTGTTCCTTGTGCAGGTATAGAGGTTGATGATTCGAGGACGAATCCTCTTAAAGAAGAAGGGGATGATGAGAATCATGTAGCCTTCCATGGAGGTTCTCCTAGTGAGGGGAATGAGCTAGTCCATCATTCTAGTTTTGGAATGCCAAGTTTACTTTGCAGGCCAATCAAGGAAGAAAGGATGGATCTTGTGATGAGAATCATGTAGCCTTCCACGGAGGTTCTCCTAGTGAGGGGAATGAGTTAGTCCTTCATTCTAGATTTGGAATGCCAAGTTTACTTTGCAGGCCAATCATGGAAGAAAGGATGGATCTTGACTACCTATGTGATAGGGAGTTGGTTCAAGAGAGCTATGATCAAGGTGATGAGAATGTCATTAACTTTGGGGTGCAAACCAAAGGAGATGAAGATCTCATGGAAATAAGTGCTGAAGAGTATCAAGAGAGTTTGACTCTGTGTGCTCCATGAAGATCATTGATCAAGCTAGTGAGAAGAGTCATTTAGGTTCATGAGTGGACGGCCTATTTGATCAAAGTGTTCAAGATTGAGTCCATTGCTACACAATTGGATAGGTTGCAAACTATCTTAATTGTTTCAAGTGTTTTTCCATTCTTTTGGAGTCAATAAAGAGAATTCTACAAGTTTTGGAGTAAGTTGGAGGTTTCTACAACTTGAGGGGCGCAAGACCAATATTCCACTTTTGGAAGGGCGTTCAAGACATTTTACTTCAATAATTTGGAGCTGAATTTCGAGATTAGAGTCATTGTCTAAGTCTAGGAGTTATTTTCGAATTTTATCTAGTTAAATAAGTCATGTGGACTGAATTAAGCTAGAGTGTTTTGATTAGGAGTCTTAGATTCCTTCTAGATATTATCCTACTTGAGGATAAGTGATTTAGATAAGGTTTCCTAGATTTTAGATAGAGTCAAAGAGATCAAGTACTCTTCTACTTTTACTCCTTGTGAGATAAGATTAGAGAGTCCTAATTGGTCTTTTTTTTAGTGGTGCTGGCCGAAAAATTCAAGCCTATATATAGGGGGCTTGGCCGAATTTTAGAAGCACCCTTGAGTGGTCATTTTTGTTGTCTCTTTTGACAGTTTTTCCTGTGAGGAATTTTTGTTAAATGGAGTGTCCATTTTTAGTATCAAGTATGATTAAACCAAGAGGGTTTTCATCTTGTCTTGGATCTTTTTGATCTTGCAGAAACCATTCTTTTTCAAGTATGCTTCTTGATAGAATTGTTTTAAAACTAAATTTCTTATTTTCATACTACTTCTAGTAGTTCGATTGATGAGCCTTTCCTTTGGCTTGGTGTTCGAATTTCATGATGAGTGTGTTCATGAGATCCATTGTGGGGTTTGTCCTACTTTTGTTGGATGAGTTGTGCTTTGGCATAAGTATTTTGAGATAGTGTATGTGTTGCATATCTTTGGTTGGTTATGAAGATTACTAATTAATAGTATTCCTTCATAGTTGGGCATTGTTTGCTCCTACCTTTCTTGAGTCTCTTGATTAATGACTGATCGAGTGTATTGAATGGTGTCCTTGCTATTCTTAGCGTGGGTTGTTGTTTAATTCGAATCTTTCATGGATAATGTGTTCTTTGCTTGGTCTGAGTTAAGAGATAGAATCACTTAGATAAACGATTGTCTTACTGTGAATTTTCCGCACTCTTTTGAGTTTCACGGGATAGACAAAATTATCTTCGTACTTTCTTGTTGATGGTTGCATTAACGAAATTTGCTTCATCTACGAGATTGCTATCATCTTGACTACCTATGTGATAGGGAATTGGTTCAAGAGAGCTATGATCAAGGTGATGAGAATGTCATTAACTTTGGGGTTTAAACCAAAGGAGATGAAGACCTCATGGAAATAAGTGCTGAAGAGTATCAAGAGAGTTTGACTCTGCGTGCTCCATGAAGATCATTGATCAAGCTAGTGAGAAGAGTCATTTAGGTTCTTGACTGGACGGCCTATTTGATTAAAGTGTTCAAGATTGAGTCCATTTCTACACAATTGGATAGGTTGCAAACTATCTTAATTGTTTCAAGTGTTTTTCCAATCTTTTGGAGTCAATAAAGAGAATTCTAAGAGTTTTGGAGTAAATTGGAGTTTTCTACAACTTAAGGGGCGCAAGACCAATATTCCAATTTTGGAAGGGCGTTCAAGACATTTTACTTCAACAATTTGGAGCTGAATTTCGAGATTAGAGTTAGTCTAAGTCTAGGAGTCAATTTTCGAATTTTTATCTATTAAATAAGTCATGTTGACTTAATTAAACGAGAGTGTTTTGATTAGGAGTCTTAGATTCCTTCTAGATATTATCCTACTTGAGGATAAGTCATTTAGATAAGGTTTCCTAGATTTTAGATAAAGTCAAAGAGATCAAGTACTCTTCTACTTTTACTCCTTGGGAGATAAGATTAGAGAGTCCTAATTGGTCTTCGTTTTAGTGGTGCTGGCCGAAAATTCTAAGCCTATAAATAGGAGGCTTGGCCGAATTTCTTAAGCACCCTTGAGTGGTCATTTTTGTTGTCTCTTTTGAGAGTTTTTCCTGTGAGGGATTTTTGTTAAATGGAGTGTCCATTTTTCGTGTCAAGTATGATTAAACCAAGAGGGTTTTCATCTTGTCTTGGATCTTTTTGATCTTGCAGAAACCGTTCTTTTTCAAGTATACTTCTTGATAGAATTGTTTTAAAACAAAACTTCTTATTTTCATACTACTTCTAGTAGTTCGATTGATGTGCCTTTCCTTTGGCTTGGTGTTCGAATTTCATGATGAGTGTGTTCATGAGATCCATTGTGGGGTTTGTCCTACTTTTGTTGGATGAGTTGTGCTTTGGCATAAGCATTTGAGATAGTGTATGTGTTGCATATCTTTGGTTGGTTATGAAGATTACTAATCAATAGTATTCATTCATAGTTGGGCATTGTTTGCTCCTGCCTTTCTTGAGTCTCTTGATAGATGACTGATCGAGTATATTGAATGGTGTCCTTGCTATTCTTAGCGTGGGTTGTTGTTTAATTCGAATCTTTCATGGATAATCTGTTCTTCGCTTGGTTTGAGTTAAGAGATAGAATCACTTAGATAAACGATTGTCTTACTGTGAATTTTCCGCACTCTTTTGAGTTTCACGGGATAGACAAAATTATCTTCGTACTTTCTTGTTGATGGTTGCATTAACGAAATTTGCTTCGTCTACGAGATTGCTATCAGTAATCTCGGCCGGCATAAGCAACTGTTTAGGTTGACTAGAACTTGGAGCTGTCTGCTTCTTAGGAGTACTCCCCACCGATTTGATCCAAAGGATGATCTACTAGTGGAAGATGTCCTTGCTCTGCTTGCGGTTGAGGATTCTTCATTTGCCTCTCAATGGTGTCGGCCTTATCCACCAAATCATCTAGATCATGATAAGACTTTAACTCCACTCTATGTAGAATGAGAATGTTCAAACCATGTAGAAACCTTGTTATACTTTGTTCCTCATCTTCTTCTAATTGACATTTAAGTTTCAAAGTATTCATGTCTTGGTAGTATTCCATACCTGAACTACTTCCTTGCTTAAGATCTTGCAACTCACCTCGAAGCTTCCTTTGAAAGGATGCTGGGACAAAAGCCTTTTGCATTACACGTGAAAGCTCTCCCCAAGTGGTGATTGCGGGATCATTGTCTCTTCTTCTCTGACGTTGTACCTCATTCCACCATGTAGAAGCATATCCATGAAATTCTGACACAGCTAAATTCAGCTTCTTTCCCTCAGAATATTTGTTGAGATAAAAGATCCGATTGATATGATCTTCCCAATGAATATACGCATTAGGATCTGGCTTGCCACGAAATTCTGGAATCTTCTGCTTGATAGTGTTCATGTTATTATCAAATCTTGGCTGCCTTTGTCGATCATGCCTAAATTCTTCTTCATGCTCAACATCATCATCATTTTGTTCCCTTGGAATTTCTTCTCGCTCTCCTTGACCTTCTTCTTCTCGGTCACCATCTTGTCCTTCATTACCACGTCCACCACCTTGACCACGCCCGGCATTGCCACATCGATCATGGATGTTCCTACGTGCAACAAGGTTAGGTCCAAGATTTACCAATGGATCCCTAACTTGGGCAAGTTGGTTTATTTGACGAGCAATTTCTTCTTGTTGGTGAGTGATCTCTTCTTGTTGTCGTTGTGGTTGTGCCATTGCCATCGTCATAAGTTGCAATTGATTGGTTAATGCCGCAATCTTATCTTTCAAATCTTGCATAGTATCATTCAGCATTCCATGTTGAGGAGGAGGTAGAGCGTTGTCTCCCATGTTTCCTGAAACACAACTCAACACACAAAAGAAAAAGAATATCGAAGAACTCATTGCCTGGTTACCCCTCCCAACTATTCTATTCACTCCCCAAGATCTCTCAAGAAGGTTTAGAATTTAGTAAGGGATGGATTTACTCTATTCTTACCACTGTCTTTGTCTTTTAATCCTTTGTGCAATGAAGACTAGTGCTACAAGAAGTACTTTATTGAAGCAACTAAAGAAGATCAAAAAGAAAGGTTTTAAAAATAATTGTAACAAGATCTAAGGAAGAACACGAATATAGATCGAGGAGTTACAATTATGAAAACTTAGATCTCACAAAAAGGCTAATAGAACTTGGAGCAAATTTTGAAAAATAAAAGTTTCGACTTGGGGTTATAGACAAAACCCTGCTTCGGCCAATACAGAAATAAAGGGCTTATATTTTCGAAACCCTAGCCACCAAAGATCCAAGTATTTCGAAAAAGATATGTGCAAATAATAGTAATTGCACTTCAAATCAAACTCAAATCCCAAACTCCTTCTATGTTGTCTTTCTTTTTATTTTTTTACTTATTTTTTCACGGCTATTTTTTTTTACTCAAAAAAGTGGATTAGGGATTAAGATACCCTAGATACGATAATTTAGGAGAAGAAATATTTTTTTTACTAACAATAATGGATCTAACTATAACAAATTCAATCAAATCAAACAAGAATACAATCAAAGCAAAATAGTGAGATCTATAATAAAAATGTTAAATAGACTTCTTATTTTGAATAAACTCTAAATTAGATAAAAGAGAATCATATCTTATCCTTCCATGTAATAAGATTTAAATGATCTTATCTCTAAAAGATAGAGAATCTTCCAAATCTTATCCTTCCACAAGTGTGATAAGATTTAAATGATTTTGATGAGAATCATGTAGCCTTCCATGGTGATTCTCCTAGTGAGGGGAACGAGCTAGTCCTTCATTCTAGTTTTGGAATGCCAAGTGATAGCAATCTCGTAGATGAAGCAAATTTTGTTAATGCAACCATCAAACAAGAAAGTACGAAGATAATTTGTCTATCCCGTGAAACTCAAAAGAGTGCAGAAAATTCACAGTAAGACGATCGTTTATCTAAGGATTTCTATCTCTTAACTCAAACCAAGCAAAGAACACATTATC